GGGTGTTACTGTAGGGAATTCTGCGATGAAATCTGTCAAAATTTGCCCTTTGATTGCAGTCCTTGGCTTATATCTAATATCAAATTCGCTGAGCTCTATCGCCCACTTAACCAGCCTTCTTGAAGACTCTGGTTTATGCAGTACTTGCTTCATTGACTGATCTGTTGGAACCTCGATAGTATGAGCCTGGAAATATGGTCTAAGTCTCCTAGCCGTAGTCACCAGGGCCAAAATTAGCTTCTCCATCTTTGGATATCTCTCCTCTGCCCCCCTCAGAGCTCTACTACAGTAGTACACTGGTTGCTGAGCTCTGTCTCGCTCCCTAACTAGTGCTGCGCTAGTTGAGAAATCCGAGACAGCTCAATAAAGAGTAAGTATTTTTCCTTCTAAGGGGCTTATCAAGACAATGGGAGAGCTTAGATACTCCTTCAGTACTTTGAACGCTTCCTCACACCGGGTATCCCACTTAAAAGCCTTCTTCAACACCTGAAAGAAAAGTCGGCATTTGTCACTTGATTTGGATACAAAAAGACTCAAGGCGGCTATCTTTCCTATCAAGCGTTGGATCTCCCTGATGTTGGACGGTGGTCGCATATCCAAAACTGCCTTAACCTTTTCTGGGTTAGCCTCGATTCCTCTACTGTTGACTATGAATCCCAGAAACTTTCTTACTGATACTCCAAAGGCGCACTTTACAGGGTTGAGTCTCATCTTGTATTTCTTGAGGATTTGGAACGATTCTGCTAGGTGCTCGATATGCAGTTCTGTCTTTAGTGATTTTACCAACATGTCGTCGATATAGACCTCCATGGATGTCCTAATTTACTTCTAGAACATTCTATTTACTAGGCGCTGATAGGTGGTTCCAGCATACTTCAATCCAAAAGGCATGACCTAGTAGCAGTAAGTTCCCTGTTCAATCACAAATGAGGTCTTCTCCTAGTCCGCTGGGTCCAACCTGATATGATGATAACCTGAGAAAACATCTATGAAGCTGAGGAGCTAATGCCCAGTAGTTGCATCCACGATCAAGTCGATTCGAGGTAAGGAAGAACTGTCTTTGGGGCATGCTCGATTGAGATTAGTGAAATCAATGCAGAGCCGCCATTTTCTATTGGTCTTCTTGACCAGCACCACATTCACTAACCAAGTAGGGTAGTCCACCTCTCTGATGGCTTTGGCGTGGAGGAGTTTGCTAACCTCCTCGTTAATTGCCTTCTGGCATTCCGGAGCAAAACTTCTCTGCTTCTGCTTAACAAGTTTACAAATAGGATTCACGCTTAGCTTGTATGTGATGATTGAGGGGTCAATGCCTTCCATGTCCTCTTGCTTCTAAGCGAACACCCCTATGTTCTTTCTCAGGAACCGGGTAAGTGATTCTTTCATTTCTTTGCTCAACTTAGATCCCACGTAAACAATATGTTCAGGCTCTTCATCGAGTTGGACTGGCTCCAGCTCTTTTGACGGTATGGGCCTGGTGTCCAGCTCGTCCCTTATGTCAAGCTCATCTAGCTGGATAGTTTCACTCTCTTTCTACTTTATCGAGGCCATGTAGCACTCCCTGGCTATTCGCTGGTCTCCTCGGACTATTCCAACTCTATTTTCTGTAGGAAATTTTACGACCAGGTGATATGCTGAGCGGATAGCCTTCATTGTGTTGAGGGATGGTCTCCCTAGTAGTATATTGTATGCAGAAGGGGCGTCAACTACTAGGAATTTCACAGTGGTGGTGGCTTGACAAGGAGGGTCCCCTATAGTGAGCACGAGTTGGATGGATCCTAGGGGTAGCACCCTTTCCCCTAAGAACCCCATTTCACTGGCTCAAGCTTCTCCCTTCCTACACCCATTTTGTCAAAGGCAGAGGCAAAAATGATGTCGGCCGAGCTCCTATTGTCAATTAGAACTCGATGAACAATTTGGTTTGCCACAATGGCCCTTACGACCAACGGGTCATCATGGGGATATTGACAGCCTTCCAAGTCTGAATCTAAGAAAGTGATGGTTGTGCTCAGCTGAGGTATTTTGGACACGGTGTGTACTTCCAGCGCTTTGTCAGCTCTGATCCTACACAGGTGTGCTTTCCTGGCTGCACTGGATTCTCCATCACCAGTAAATCCTCCAGATATCACTCTGATCTCCCCTAAGGGTTGCTGATGCTGCGCAGGGGCTTGTTGTTGGGGTGCCGGTAGTAGTGGAGCCCTGTTCTGGTTGTCATGGGCGACAAATCGTTGTAACTGTCCCCTCTGGATCAAGAACTCGATCTCCTTCTTTAGCTGAATGCAATCTTTGATATGATGATCCCTATGATATTCGCAATATTTCGTAGGGTCTCTTTTAGACGGATCTGCCTTCATTCGTGGAGGCCACCTTAGGAATTTCTCATTCTGCACCTCGTATAGGATCTGGGATACTACCGCAGTGAGAGGGGTATATTGCTGAGGTGCATACCTCGGCTGTAGTTCAGGCTGCAGGAGGCCTAAGCGGTCCCTAACGTTCCCCTTTCTTTTGGGGATCGCTTTTTGTCTCTTCTGAGAGATCTATCTCTCTTTGGAGATCTGTTTCTTTCCCTCTCTCTCCTGGGACTTCGGTTCCTCTTTTTTTCTTCCTTTCCCTTGTCTCTATGTGCGGAAGAGCTCCCTACCTTAGAAAGAAGGGCTTCTTCGTCGTTTATGTATTTCTCTATTTTAGCGAGCACCTCGGTCATGCTTGCTTGGAGATTTTTTGATATGGAGAACATCAAATCTTTAGACTGCACCCCTAGACCAGCTATGAAGGCAGTGATGACGAACTTTTCGTTTGGGACATCCACCTTTAACGACTCCGAATTAAATCTTTGGACATATAACCTGAGGTTTTCTTGTAGTTCCTGTTTCACATTCAAAAGGTGATAGCTCAGCTTTCTATAGGTTCGAGCCCCTATGAAGTAGGATACGAAGGAAATGGAAAGCTCTTTGAAGGAAGAGATTGAGGGCGGGGGGAGCCTGTTAAACCACGCCAAGGCCGAACCCTTCAAAGTGATGGCAAATACTCGACAGCGTATGGGGTCCTGATACCCGTGCAATTCCATCTGGTTCTTATAAGTATTGAGGTGGTCTATGGGGTCCCTGGTTCCATCAAAGGACTCTATCTATGGTATCCTGAACTTTGGTGAGAGGGGAAAATGCAACACCCCAAGCGTGAATGGAGATTCAGTCTGTTGCACCAAGGCGTCCATTGTAACTGGAGCTTTACTTCTGACCGTTTCCTTCATGTGGCTTAGCTCCTGTTGGATGCCCTTAAAGCGTTGCTCCCAATATTGCTTCCTTCTCTCCTACTGATAAGGGAGACGTCATTTTTTCACCTTCATGGTTCTGACTTTGTACTTCCTCATTGTGGCCATTCCTAGGGGGTAGTTGGGGAACCTGCCCCAAGGTCTGGTTGTTCCCCCCCCTTCGTTGTCTTCTCTAAGTGGATCAAGGTGTTGTTGATCCCTGTAGTGGGGACTGTTATGACCTTCTTGGGCCGGACGCACCTCCTGTGGGCGTTGCAAGAGCTCCTCATTTTGCTTTATCAAGCGTTGATTGACGATGCGAAGGGCCTCCATCTCGTTATTTATGGGGAAATTTCCCATGGGAGGATCAGTCTCTGGGAGATTCTCAGGCTGTCTGCCATTGGTGGCTCCTTGTTGGTCCTACATCCGAGATGGGTTTATTTGACTTCTGTTCATGTTTCGTGTTAACACCATCAATCACTGAAAGATTAGCTTATTTGTAATAGGAACAGTCGTTCCCACAGACAACGCCAAACTGATGGTGCAAATCTACGTGGATGAGAAAAAGGTGCAGGTGACGTGTGATGAACATGAATCAGAGCTACAAGGCTCGTGTGTGATGCTGTAGTAAAAAACTAAGAGGGTTAAAGGGGTGTACACAATAAAAATATAGTGGTTCACCAACTGAGGAGCTCGGCTAGTCCACTCTTCAATAGAGGCTCTTGCTCCCTCTCCTCTATTCCCTACTCAAATGTATTCTCCTCCGATCTCTCTCAAAATTAAGGTTTTTGTTTTTTTATCCTCCTTCCTATGGAGGCGTTACATAGTATGTATAAGGCTGTCCTATATTCCGTGGGATTTCAGCCGAGATTTTTGCCCATTATTTATGAGATCTTTCTTGATTTTAACAATTACATAATTATTACCTAAATTCAATTTAAATTTAATTTTTTTTTATATCAGATAGCTAAAATATTGAATCATTACATAAGCTATAAAGAAAAATGTTAATCCAATTTTAATCTTGAAGAATTATACCCTAAATAAATTAAACTTTGGAGCTTCCAAAAGTAGTTTCAACAATAAGTAAAAGCTAAAAAATCTTCATTTGTGTCTCAATTTGAGTATTTTTTTTATGAATTCTTGCTAATTGTTGCTTTCATTTTCACTTTCTTAAGGTAAAGATGCAAAAAAAAATAAAATTTTTAGTAGTTTAAGATATTACTAGTTATAAAATTAGAGGTAATAATTGACATTTTATTAAAAAAACTAATGAAATAAAAACAAATAAATTAGAAATAAAAATATAATTGTGTTTTCATAAGAAATATAAAATTGGAGTTTTGGAGTTAATAGAAATAAATTATAAGGACTAGAACTTAATTGTATTCATAAAAATATGATAGGACTTGGTAATATTTTCACCGAAAAAGTAAGAGTTATTGACAATTTCATAATATCAACTATTTTCTCAGTAAAATTACATTACTACAAATAAATTATTAAATAACTATCACCAATCAAAATAGTTGTTGAATACCTATTATAATCAAATCTCATTTAATATTTTTCCAAAAAAAAAAAAATTTGATATATATTTTTTATTTTGATTTTTTTTTCATAATCTCAAAATGGGTCCGGTCCGACAAACGCTGCCCAAACCCGAATATGCAACCCATTAGCAGCGAACTCGAATCGATTCCCAGTTCTAGTAGGTCTAGGGTTTCCTTAACCTCCTCTGAGCTCATCAATGGCGTCGACAGCCATATCTCTCCAACTCAGACCCAAACACAGGCCATTTCGTAACCCTAACTTCCTTCACTACTTCTCATCTTCAACACCAGACCCTAATGCCGAACCCCAAAACCCCACCACTTCCACCTCCTCCTCCTCCTCCTCTTCATCCCAATCCCAATCCCAATCCCAATCCCAATCCCAAGCTTCTTTCTCTTCGTACTTTAGCGACGTCAAAGCCAGTCTCAAGCATCAATCCCCACCCCAACCACCTCGCAAACCATTTTCTCTCTCCTCCCCCTCGAATCCTCCGCAAGCACCTCCTTCAAAAGTGGCGGCCTCTCTTGAAGAAATCCGCAAGAACCTCTCCGAATTCCGCCGCCGCTCCGCCGCTCCACTCCCGGACGACAAATCCCAATCATCTTCTCAATCCTCTCGACACATCTCATTCCAAGAACTCTACAAGCGCAATGTCATCTCCAAAGGCGAAGATTCCAATACCAATGAAGCTAGCAAAGGCGGAGGGAAGCTCTCTTTCGACGCCATTCGCGAGAGCTTACGTCATCTCCGATCGCAGAAAAATCAAGGGTCTGGAGGAAACACAACCAACGATCCGATGTCACTTTCGAGGTTCAAAGAGAGTTTTAGGCTAAGGCCAGTTGATCCTAGTGTGAAGGAATCGCCGGTGGTGATTGGGGGGAGTGACAGGTTGCCCTCATCGGTGTTTGGGAAGGAAATGAGGGAGAAAAAAGAGACGGAGGTGACGGCGATGACGACAGAGTTTTTGAGGATGTATAGTTATGGGGATTTGGGACAGAAGTTGAGGATGCTGAGGCCAGAGGTGGCAAAGAAAGAGACGCAGAAGAATTGGTTTTCGTTGGCGGAGTTGAACGAGAGGCTAATGAAGTTGAGGGAGATTGAGGAGAAAGAGTCGGAATCGAGGATTGGCGGGATTTCATTTAAGGAGTTGAGGGAGAGTCTGGCGAAGCTGCAGATTTCGGATGCTGAGAAGGCAAGGAAGACTTCGAGTAAGTGTGCATTTTGTTTCGTGAATTGGTGCCTGTGTTATCATATTAAAGTTCTTTATACTGTGTTGTTTGTGTTTTGTTTGTTGGGTTGGATTCAATTTGAATACAATTGTTCGGGAGTGAATGGTCAATGCTATGATTATATTTACTGTAATTGGTACATCAATAGAATGGTTGGCCAAAGTAATCTTAGTGTTCTGGTCTTTTGTATGTTTTTAATTTGTAGGATGTTCTGCTAGTCTAATTATGTTGCATATATGCCTGGTTCCTACTTTTTGGAAGATCCATTAATTCCTTTTGAAGAGAAAAGCTTTGGTTTGTTAAAATTTGTCATGACCTTTTTAATTACTAGTTGAATTTTTGGCTCCTGCTACTAAACAAGCATAAAAATATTCATGTAGTGTTTTATAACTGCAAACATGATTCCTTTGAGCAAAATTTGCACAATGCAGAAAGGATGCACTATCAACAAGTGTTGCTCTATTTTCCGTTTGTATTGTCCTTTTTAAAAACAAGCTCCCGTTTTATGATTTCAGAAAAGAGACGACAGTGCCTCGTTTTGGGATGTGGGAGGGCGGAATAATTAAGCAACTATTACTTGAATATTTCTGCCACTTCAATCTAGAAATTGTTATCGAATCTATGAAAGTGTTTTGCAGTTCTTGTTGTTCTTTTTGTTAAAGATATTTATTGTAAGTTTTTTTGTTTTTTGTCATTGCTGTTTCATATTTCTCCATGTGCATGGTCATGTCTAGACTTTGTGGTCAGATCCTTTTTATAAAATGAATTGATGAATTATAACCAAAGTGATTGTTGCAGTGGAGAGACTTAATGTCTTGGGAACTGCAAGCTTCATGTTGGCACCTCCAAAGGAACATTTAGTCGAAAAGGCCAGTATTTTTCTTTACTTTTATGCTCTTTCTTTTTTAGTGTAATAATTGTACTTCATTCCATCACGAAACAGGGAATTTTTACGTTGGTCTTTTTCAGTCCTTCTGAGGAAGACCTTAAGATTCGTCACCATACAACAATGTATACTGTCTTTAACTTAGTCCCACTTATAGTCTTGCAACCATAATCCTGTACAACAAGAACTTCCGAACCACACCTTGCAATCTTGAATAATTGCAATCTCGAATAAGATGATCGCAAGTGATCAAGGGAGCACGGATATTCCAGCAATGGTCGACGTGGAGGTGTCGGACACGGATATGCGTGGGACACGGCCGGACACGTGTCTGACACTTTTACAAATGTCTTGAACAGAAAAAAAAAATAAAAAAAAAAATAAAAACGGATATGGGTGGGATACATGAGGGATATGGTACCTGATCTCTTCTTCAGCCATGGATCTGAACTGGCCAGGTAAGTCTTCTTCGAACTCTTCCTCTTCTTCTTCTTTCCTCCTTCTTTGCCCGTTCTTCTACTTCACAAGAGGGCTTGGCCCCTCTCTCTCTCTGCGATTTCTCTGTGTGATCTCTCATTCTGTCCATGCGTGGGAAGCGGCTTGCCCTAGTTCCTGAAACCTTTTGCTTTTATATGTTTGTCTCTCTCTCACGTTTTGAACATATTAAAATTCAATTTTTAAAAAAAATATTGTTTTCCCAACCAAAAACAAAAAATTGTCCTTTTTTTTTTGTATTATCTATTTATTAGTTGTCAAATATATTAACCCACTATCTAATTTAGTATTAGCCCACTCAATTGTAACATATTAACTCAATGTCTAATTTAATGGTAACTCATTGTTCAATTATAAGATATTAATCAATTGCTCAATGTTTATTAGGTCATATTATTATTGTTTTTATTTATATAAAAATATATAATATTATATTAATTAGCCATATTCTTGTCGCACCCGTATCTTATATTTTAAAACTTTGTCGTATCCTCGTGTCCGTATCCGTATCATATCCGATACGACACCTGTGTTTGTATTCGTGTTTCTTAGGAAGCAATGTTTTGATGATTTAATCACACATTTACATTGGTTGTACATTCTTTACAGGTTTAATGTCCAATTCACTTAGAATTTCTATGTGGTACTTTAACATCGAGCATGTTCTCTAAAAGATGAAGGACTCATACGCCCCCTAGTTTTACTTCAGAGTATCTGTAGAATGACCTCTTAGTTAACAAAAGAGTGAAAAAAAGAAGCTTTGATCAGCTTGCACATTCTTGAATAGGTCCGTGTTCATATGATGTTTCTCATCCTTTGAAGAACTTTTTTTTGGTATTTTAAAAAGTGGACGTGGATGTATTTATTTGATTCCATTCTGGGCATTTTTACTAGAAGCCTCTTAACCATTTCTCATTATCGATTGCATTGAAGCTCTCATGGTATAATGAGTCAAAGTGTTTTTTGTGCTATGCAGTATTTCCATCCAGATAACATGTCGTCTTCAGAGAAAATGAAACTCGAGCTTAAGAAAGTCAGAGATGAATTAAAGATGTCAGAATCAGATTGTGGATCTTTTCGTGTTCAAGGTAAAGCAATTTAAGCATGATTTTTTTTTTTATCAAGGCTTCCCATCTAAGGAGTGCATGTAATCTTTTTTATTTGCTTGAATAATTTGTGTGTAATGCTTTCCTTTTTTCTTATTAGTTTGCTCATATATATATGCACACAATTACAAAGGAGTTGAAGGATTTGGTTGTATAATTATCAAATAGGAAAATGGTATTTGGAAGAAAAGACTAAGGTTATGATTATAAGAGAATTCATTGTATTGTAATAGTGGCAAAACGGGTTTCTGTGGAACTTGAGACCTTTTTTAAAGAAACCTGCTGGCAAAATGATGTAGTTCAAATATCTAATGGCACAAAGGAGTTTTCATACCCTAATACATAAAATGGTTACGCTGGTCATGGGGGATGCGTCATCATAGATTATGCTTCTAGTCTACATTCCGATCATCATATTGATGATAAAATTCGTGCTTTTCCATAAGAACTTGGATTCTGTATCATGGTAAAGATATTGAAGTGCTGTGATTCTTGCTCAGAAAACAGAACAAGATTTGTATATGGTGTAAATGGGGATAACTTGAATTGTGAAGCTTGTGTTTTGAAAGAAAATGGTAGGAAGAAATACATGCATAAGTGGGGCTAAACCCCTTCCCCAACACCCCCCTCCAAAAGAAAAAAAGAAAAAAAGTTTAGGTAAGAATCTAGGATTAGGGAACCCTGTTAGTATGATGAGGCAAAATACTTCCATATGCTTTCCTGACTCAAGAAAAGCACATGACCTATTCTTCCGATGTGTCAAAACTGCTTAAGAAAAGAGCATTATGTGATGCCCTCAGCAACGATTTATATGTGAATGATATTCTGGTATTACGAACTGGACTGAGTGGTGAATAAGAAAATTCAAACCTTGTCCTGGGCCAATGTGCATTGCTTGGGATTTGGATGGATTGCAAGGGTTATTTATTTATTTATTTTTGTTTTGGGTTCTGTTCTCTTATACAATATATGTGCAAAACAACATAACCAAGTAAGTGAGGAAGGGGTTTAAACTGTGACAAGTATCTAAAAATTTATGATTGTTCAAACCTTTTTTTAGAATTTATTAGCAAGAATTAATTGCAAAAGTGAAATGGCAAAATTATGCCTCAAGTACTTGTCCATATTATTACGTTTTCCAAGGGTTTGACATTGACATGCTATCCTTTATTTTTTTGTAGTGGCCCAACTCACAACAAAGATCAAGCATCTATCTACAGCTCTACACAAAAAGGTGACTTTGTGGATCAATTTTGTATATTTCCCATGTCAAATGGTTAGAAATATGTGACTGTGTTACATAATTGCCTGTGGGTGGTCTTGATATGACATTTTTTTGCTAAGCTTTAATCTTGTACTTTTGAAGTGTGATTTTTTCACAAAGATGATTGTCGTTGATAGATAATAATAGACTTTACGATTTAATAATTGTTACTTATTTTAAGCGTACTGAATTTACAATACACAATCTAAATCTACATTGTTTATGTTATTAGATTTAGAGACTTCACATTTTGAAGACGCAATATTAAATTCCATCACACCAATCACTTTGACAGTGTAATTTACTCCACACTGACTCCTATACCATTGTTGTGATTGCCTTTGTTATTGGATTCTTCGTAATGATAATTATCAACAAAAAATGAGGAAAAGGAATTTTATTCATCTAATGGTCATGTAAAAAATTCACGTGTAATTATTGTCTCGATTTGGGGTGACCATGAGCTGCCCAGCCTAAAAAAATTGGTGGAACACAGGGCCTCAGGGCAGGGCTTGTGTGAGCCTTTGATGGCCCAACAAAGTTAAGGTATGGTTTTGAGCCTAGCTACTTTTGACCCGGCATGGCTTGTCAAAGAAGGGTGTCCCAGTGCACAAATTGAAAACACATTAGTCCATTCGAAAAAATGTCAATATGACATCCTTAATCTTTATGCTTAGAGGGAACCATGAGAATTGTTGCTTATTGAAAGATACTATTAGATATTATAGAATACATTTAGCAGGTTGGCTCAACCTAGCACTGAGACACCCTTGGGGGCAGGGCGGAGCTTGGGTTAGGGATCCATGGCCCAAGGTTGGTCCCTGCCTGTGCCTATGCCAATATATGCTGAGTTATTACATAGGGTTGGCTTTACCAAACCTGGTCCATCCTGGTCCATGGCCACTGCTGGTCCTAACACTTGGCCAAATCACAATTTTTTTGTGCAAGTAAATGACAATTTAATGAGTGCATTATGATTGTATTAGTATCATCATCTTCAGTAGATTGTGCAGATTGACATTTAGCTTGTGCAAGTATTTTAATTGATTTACAGCCTTATTCCCGTTTTCCTCAAAATACTTCTCAATTTATCATCCTCTTTTTTGAATTGATTTACAGCCTTATTCCCGTTTTCCTCAAAATACTTCTCAATTTATCCTTCCTTTTTTTATGGTTTTTTTTTTTTTTCCTGAATTGCATTTTTATATCTCCAAAAAACTTCGTTAGGTTTTTCTTTTCCAAATACCCCTTGATGTTCCCCAGGAATTATCCAAATAATTTGGTTGTGAGCAATCAACGATCTAGACTTCATTGTGACCTTGCAGTTTTTGGTTGTGGGTGTTGACATATTTGACAATTTGCTTAGCTAACCCCGTGCGGGAGGGTTGGACTTCTTGCTCCACTATCCACTTGTTTTTCCCTTGATTGCTCCAAATAAGAAGCCCAAGAAAGGCAAGAAGTTATTAAATAAGTTTGGCTTATGACTACGGGTCATGGTAATTGGTGTCATATTAAGTTGCCTATATTTGACTGTTTGCTGCCTGTTGCATATACCATATCTTTTTCAAGGTTTAGGAATTGTTTCTTGAATTACACACCACCTCCATGATTGTGTGTCATTCACTTAATGCTGTGAAAATGCTGCTGAATTGCTGCCAGCATTATTGATGTGATATACTGATTTACTACAGTTGACTTGATTACAATGAAATAGTAGAGACATTGTCTTGGTGGTTTCCTACCTGAGTCATGGTAGATTGGTTTTATTAAGTTTCTTGGCTCCCATGTTCATTTATGTGCTTCATGTATTAGATCTTTCTTCTGCTGCCTTGTATGCCCGCAAGGTGATATATTTATTATCAAAATACTGCAGGATAAGCATTCTCGGAAGGGTCTTATAGCCATGGTTCAGAGGAGGAAGAAGTTACTAAAATATCTCCGAAGAACTGACTGGGACTCCTACTGCCTTGTTCTCTCTAAATTTGGTCTACGGGACAATCCAGATTATAAGAATTAGACAAGCATGTACCAATGTCAGTTTTGTTTGCAAATGAAATTGCTATGTTTTCATTCATTTTGTGAAAGATGGATTGGACTTTCTTAATATGTTTCTTTCCCTTTCCCTTCCCCTTTCTTTGTGAAATGTTAGATGTCGTCATGGAACATGAATGTTCAAATTTAGATCATATAAAAGAGCAACCGGGGTCAGAGATTTATGGATTGCCTGAGGCGCTGGTTAGTTATTGGATTTGTTCAATTGTATATTTTGTTCTGATTCTCCTATTTCAAGTTCTATACTTGGCTTACTTTGATTAATCCATTCGATTAGTAGTTTGGCACTGATATATTTCAGCCACATTCGCCTGTGTGTGTGCCCGCGCTCACACACACACACACACACACACTTAATGCTCCTAGAATAACACTCCAATATGCAATTGAAGCGAGCATCTGAAGCTAATAAAGTTTCAGGAAGATCGTCATTGCCTATTCCCGGTAATTTATGCAATCTGGGATGTCTGTTCTCCTAGGTAGAGATGTAATTGAGAAAGTGAACTAGTAGAGAAAAATACAATACATTCCCACAAAAATATCCACCCAGAGAGAGAGAGAGAGAGAGAGAGAGAGAGAGAGAGAGAGAGCTGTCTGTTCTGAACACAGGTACAAGAAGAAAAAATGCACTCATGAAAGTTTTAAATGTACTGCACAAGATGCACTCGTGACCACATTGTCTTATTGCAACTTAAGACAATTTTCTTGTGCGTTGGACATCAAAGCCGAAACTGCAACAAGTAACAATGCCATGTTTAGAATGTAAAGATCCAGACGTAATGTCATCTCAAACAATTGATTGTATACAAAATATAATTTTACACAAGTAAAAACAATCTTATTACAGCAGCCTAAACTGGTTCCGCTAGAAGCTAGCCATCCCAAACCAGAGATCCATGGCGCAAGAAAAAATTCTTCTGGTTTTTAGTAAAAGAAGAATAAGAGGGTGGGATTATTTTCCTTAGGGATGGCCTTGAAAACACCATCCAATCTACAATACCGACATTCACATTATGGCAACCCTTCAAATTTATCTCCCTCAATGTTTCACAGGCACTCACCACTTCCTCCACCACTCTTGTGGTCACTCCCACGCAACCCTCCAAGTCCAACTTTAGGAGCCGGTGGCATCTCTTTCCAATCGCCGCCAGCCCTTCATTAGCGATCCCCGACCTGGGTGCACACAGAATCTCCAATTTGGGAAGTTCGGAACCTGTTCCAATATTCTTAACCCCTGCACAGAAATTAATCTGTACATGTCTGACATCACAGCAACTCTTGAAAATTTCAGCAATGCCAACTTCTGTAATATCTGAACAGGAGCTCAAATCAAGTATCTCCAAATTTGGGCAGATTGAAGCAAATTTTTTAAGGCATCCATCACTCAGGTACGGATTCCTTGCCAAATTCAGACACTTGATTCGTGGGTTCTTCGTAAAATCAATAAACAAGTCTTCTTTCCCCAACTTTGTTCTCTTCATTTCAATTTCTTTCAGCAAAGAGCAGGTCCTTGCGATAGTGAAGAAGGTCAAATTGGTTAGCTTATAACACGAGCTGAGCTTTATAGTGACCAGATTACAGAGGTACCGAGACAAATCACTCATGTACTGATCAGTGAGGAAATCTACTTTTACAAGAGCTAAGTACTCAAGAGACTGGTATGTGCACAAAAGTGATGAGATTCCAGAGAAAGTGAAATTGGTGCAACAAGAAAGCGAGAGCCTTTTCAATGGGATAGAAGCCTTTGCAATTGAATACAAAAACACATCTGAAATAACCATATCATAGAAATCAAGAGTCCTCAGAGCTCGTGGGCATGATAGCAAATCTTCAAAAGGCGAAGATGTAAGAGGAATGTGAATCCCATTCACCGAAATTGAGCTCAAATTGGGACTATTACGCAATACAAAATGAATCCCATTCTGGGTTATGAATGAACAATCCAATACTGCAAGTTCTCTCAATAACAAGCAGTTTAAGGACAGAGCAACAAGAGACCGATCAGTAATGAAATGATTTCCAGAAATATTAAGTTTATGCAAGTTTTTAAGATTAGCAGACAGTGCCTCAATCCCACTATCAGCCACGCCCACTTCACCGGAAGTCCAAACATCAATTTCACGGATCCAATCAAAATTATTAGAAGGGTAACTAATATCTAGCTCTTCCAACCAAGGCAACGAATCAGCTATTGCAACTAAATCACTGTTCCGTAAAACGCAAAGATTTGCACACTTCAAAACCCTCAAACTCTTCATGCTTAATCCCAATTCAATCAAACCCTTAATGGGCACACTTTTCTGATTCGAAAAGTCAATAAATTCGAGGTTCAACAAAGAAGAACATGCAATTTCAAGAATAATATCATCGATCTCTCCGCGACAGTTACTGAGATCTATGGCTTTGAGGTATCGGAATCTTTGAAGGAGTTTAGAGATAGTACCGTGGATGAGAATTGTTGGGTGGATTAAATTCAACCTTGTTCGGAGACGATTGGTGAGAGAGAGAAATTGTTGGCATACCAAAGAAAGGGGTTCGAAGTAAGAGTGGTGATCAAGTCGGTTGAATATCATTTCCCAGCATTCCTCAGGCAAATCTTTGAATTTCTTCGCCATTTTTTTCACTGCCAAGTACAAAAGATTGAGCTTTGGGCTATATACAGTAGTGACATTTCAGAAAATTGAATTGAGATTTGAGAGAAGTTGAACTTACCTCCGTACTGGGTTGAAGAAGAGACCTTATTACTTTCAGAATTTGGCTTTGAAATTGAGGAGAGAGAGAGAGAGAGAGAGAGAGAGTTTCAGTTAGAAACGGGCGTCGCTATATCCTATATGTAGGACTAGCAGGAGCCGGAACGGATCTGGATCCTGTCAATTTCAAATTTTGTTTGGGCCCCACCACTAATGACACTTTACCCCCTCCAAAATCTTAAAAATCTGCTTAGAATCAGAACTTGTGTCGCATTGCACGGGGCGTTAATTGAGCCAAGTCTTCCGAATTTGATTATGCTTAGGCCCGGCTTGTGTTATTCGAGAATCGCTCAGCTCGAGCTCGCTTATCGAGCTCAAAATATTGTTTAACCTCGGTTCAAACCGAATTTGGGTAAACAATAATAGCAATGTTATAGGGATGATGGAACATTTTTAGATATTTCAAGATGATGATACGTGTCCTCGGCGTTAATAATATTCACCGATCAGATCACGACACGTGCGCGTCGGTCCATAATCTCCTCTTCCCTCGAGGATACTATTCACAGGGATCAAGGATCCCCAGTATTCCATAAACCGACACGTATCCCTCGGTCAGTTTTGGGTACATCAGCCCCTAGCGACGTTGAACCCTCGACACCGAGGTATATTCGTCTACGAAGTATTTCTGCTCCTGTAGGGCTATTGATGGACAGATCACTAGCCTAGGCTAGACTAGACTAGCCATCATGACCTTGTCTTACTCAAATGGTGTCAAGAGGCACAAAAAAACAAAAGGCTCAACCAAGGAGAAATGAGCACGTGGTGTATTGTGTCAGATCAGAGACAAAAAAATAAGAATGTCCTTGCTGACACACGACTTGAAAAAGTAAGTATTTTATACACCCTTTCCTTGATGAGACAGTATTTAATGCATGAAGAGTCTGGAAGTGAAAGATAATAAATATCCCAAAGCCTGGACATTTAATACACCCCGGTCGAGGGAAGGTCATTAAACGTTCGGCAGACCGAGAAGAAAGCATTAGTTGCTCGGGGTCCCGAGCAATTAAGAATAAGAACATTACTCATAGAAATTGGTGTGCACACTGCCCACCTCCAATGATTACCTACTAGCTACGCTGTCAACGATAATGATTTTTTAAGGTATAAATAGTCCTCACAAACACATAAAAAGGGTACGCAAAAAATCTTTTCTCAAGCATCATACAATGTTTTCTTCTTCTCCTCTCTTAAGGAACTGACTTGATCGTCGAAGGGATACGCCGAAAAACACTTCGGCGCCCTTCTAACCTGTTTTTATTTATTCTAGGAACCTCCCTTAACCTTTCAGGATCACTCAGGCGACTCCTAAAAACAATTCGTCAGCACTTCATTGGCCACTTTTGGCCTTCACAACCCGTTCCAAGTAGCAAGATCAACCATTTGATTGACGGACTCGTGTTTACCACGGAAGAGATCTGTTCTCGTGTTTATATTATGTAGGATCGTGCACGCACAAGGAATATAATTTAAGAACATAATTTGAAAACTTAATGATTGTGATTATTAGATTGTTAGTAGGTCTCAACATTAAAATATAACTGGGTTTCAACATTATCAATCCAATGAGCATCTTAAATTATGTCCAAGTATTATTACCACTAAAAAAAAAAATTAAATTCAAAACTTTCCAATACCCAATCAAAAAATTTCACAAATCTAAATTTTAACATAAACGTGAACATAAAATACCCCCAAATCACAACAAAGTATACAAACTTAAATATTTTTTAAAATTTTACTGAAACAACCTTAATATCTGTAATAATTTATATGTATATTATATACAAATAAAAAAAACAAGTCGGCTCGCGAATAGCATGAGCTCGACTTGAATACTAAACGGGTTTAAAAATTTATTCATATTTGACTCATTTTATAATATGAATGGGTCCAAGCCAAGCTAAAACCTAGTCGTCCGAATCATTTAAGAGCCCTACATTCTTAATTTTTAACTTTTGTTTGAAATAATACCTCCGGTTTTGGTTTTCTATTTTGTTTCAATTTGCTCTCCATACTCATCATTAATTAGGGTGCAAATCGAAACACAATGTAGAATTTGAAATAAAATATAAAGTATAATCTACTTTCTTTTTTTTTTTTTGTTAATTTCGATCAACTTTAATAATTTAAATCTAGTGGGTTTCAATCATGATTTCTGTGGATTCCACTATTATTCCAATGGGAAACAAGAAGTTTAATTAACTTATAATTGAATTTGATTGAAATTAATAAAAGTTTACAAATTAAATAAATTCAAATCCATAACAGAATCCGCCTTACTTGATTTTACGAGGTTAGATATATAAGATGATAGAAAAAACAATAATCTAATCAGTTAAAATCATATCCATTGGAATGTCTGTAATGTGTTCATCATTCCTCTAATCTCAAATAACTCATTTGTCGCTCTACAATACTCCTAATACCAGTTGTCCCATATCCGCCTTCATAAATTCTCAAAATCTATATGCTACTCCAATACTTGTACGAAAACATTTCAACGCAACGATGACACCACGTCATCACTATTACTTGGTGTCACTGTCTAATTAAAAGACTACAAGTAGGTAAAGTCAATTCTACTGTTAATGATTTGATGTGGTGGTTATTGGTGGTTACAAAAATAATGCGATTCATTTTATCTACTTATAGTCTTTTAATTAAATTGTGACATCATATAAAAGTTATGATGTGGTATCATTATTACATTAAATATTTTCTTGTATATTAGGTGGATGTGGGTTCCACGGTATGGTCACACTGTCTCATCTTTCCGGTTATGTGTATGGGCTAATGAAGAAAGACAATTATGTTGTTGTTGAAATACTTTGTTTAAAATTTGAATTTCAAATGATGGTCATAACGTACATTTGTCCATCCACACAAATAAAATAATGTTCTTAAAGAGTACCTTCTCTAGAGATTTGAATTTCAAATGTGGTATATTTCTTCATCAACCCACATCTCTACCTTCTCATATTTTCATTGTGGTATTTATTTTTTTTATAAAATTCTTTTTTGAGGGGAAGGGGAAGAGGGAGACTTGAACCCTTGACTTCAATAAGGCTAAACCTTTATAAGATAATGAGTATCATTAGACCAAAGACCCATTGATAGGTATTTAAAGTTGAGGCATAACTCAAAAATGGGATTCGAATGATAATAAAATTCCATATATTATAGGAGTGGTCTGTTATCATATATATAGCGTGTTTAAAAGTATATGTATTGGCAAAATATATACGCCTTGGTGACTAATACAATGGATATGTACAAAATATGTT